TAGTAACAGGAGAGTTATGCTTGGCTTCTATAAGAACTTTCTTTCAGGAATAGCTACTAAGCTAGGAAAAGCGAAGCAAAGCTTTTTGGGTGAAATGGCTCCATGGAATTTAGTATCTTAGGACCTTTGTTCAGTTGCATTAGGAGTTAAGTAGTCTTGTAGTTGGGCCTGGAAAGCTGACCAATAATCTTCTTTAAAATCAGATAGTATATTTTGTACTTCTTTATGAAGACTTGTGAAAAAATGTCCTATCTGTAAATTGGCGTTTGTGTAATAGTCACATGCATCTACATTTATACACTGGTAATATGTATCTACAAAAAAAAAGTCCCCCAAAAAGAAGAGACTTGGAGCTAAGAGATAAAATGTGGTTGATCTTGGAGTGGCCAAATAAGCTGCCTGCTTTTCTAGGAAAAGTAAGATCCTTGTGAAGTAAAGGGTTTACAATGTTTTTGTCTTGACTCAAGTTATCTTTGAGCTCACATACACAGAAATTACCAGCTTAGAGCTTTGTTCCTAAAAAACCTGCAAATCCCAGCTCTGATCATTAACAATCTGTACTTCTCTATATATTCTTCAGTGAATGTGTCTTTTAGTCTGCAAGAATGCAGAAAGCAAAGTCACAAACTTATTCAAATTATCACCATATTTTCATTGACAACATCTTTAGAAAAAACCTGGCATGACTACATCCTTCTAAATACCAAATAATCAAACTGGATGAAGGTCTAATGGATGTGAATTGGTCTAATTGGATTTCATGGAAATTATAGGTTGTGCCACTCTGAGTAAGGATAATGTGCTACTGTGGGTAAGGATCATCTGTACTTAGGGCACCCACATCCATTGGGTGTCTCTGTCCCAGAGGGATCTGCCCCATCTCTTGTTTGGCCAGCTGACCTCCAAAGGTGGCACCTGCCTTTGCCTTGGCCCACCAAGGCTCTTCTGCATCTCCAGGGCTCCTTCTTAGCCACCTTTACATCCCCAAAGACTGCAGAGTGCCAAGTAGTCATAATCAGGGATTATTTTAGCCTTCTTCCCATTTTAATTTTTAAGAGTTTACTTTGTATTTCCAAAATTATTACTTCAGTAAAATATCCCTTAGCTATTTTTAATTCTATGCTTAACATAAAATTCCCTTTTCATCAAATAGTTCTCCCTCACCACCTCTACAAATATTAAAGAATATTCAAATCTTACATGCTTTCTTTGAAGGCTATGAGTTTCTTTTCCTTTCATTTTCCTGAAAGTCATAGTATTTTCACTTTTAGTAGGCAGAATTCTAAGAGGGCCCCCAAGATTCCCACCCTTCGGTGTACACAAATTTTCTCCCAATTGTCAGTCAAACACTAATCTAGGTGCTGCTGTGAGGAGATTTTGTAGATGTAATAAAGGTCCCAAATCAATTGATTTGAAGATGGTAGAGTATCCTTGATGAGCCTACCCTAATCAGATGACATTTTTAAAGAGTCTGGGCTTTCCCAGTAGAGAGATTCAAAGTGTGAGAGATTTGATGTGAGGAAGATTCTCCACGGCTGGCTTTGAAGATGGAGATGGCCAAGTGGGAAGTAATGGATAGCATCTGCGAGCTGAGAGAGGCCTCTAATTCACAGCCAGCAAGAGAACAGAGACCTCAGTTTAGCTGTAAGGAATTGAGTTCTGCCTAAAACCTAAATGAGCTTGGAAGAGGATCACAAATTTCAGATGAGAAAGGAGCCCCAATCAACCACCTTGATTTCAGCCATGTGAGATCCTGAGCAGAAACCCATCCATGCCACATACAGAGCTGTGAGCTAATAAATAGGTGTTGCTCTAAGCAGAGAAATTTGTGGTAATTTGTTACAAAGCAAGAGAAAATTAATACACCTCTGTTTGTTTTATGAGCACAAGCAAAGCACAGAAAAATACGGAAGCAAAATGGTGCATCTTTAATATCCATAAGGTTAGATTCCAAAAGGCTTTACCAAGTATATTTCTTTTCAAATCTGAAGTAATATTCCACAGATGACTAACATGACTTCTCCATAACGGAAAGGTGATGATATTTTTTTCCTGTTTTTGAGACAGAGTCTCGCTCTGTCACCCAGCCTGGAGTACAGTGGTGCAATCTCAGCTCACTACAACCTCCGCCTTCCTGGTTCAAGCAATTCTGGTGCCTCAGTCTCCCAAGTAGCTGGGATTATAGAAGTACACCACCACACCTAGCTAATTTTTGTATTTTTAGTAGAAACAAGTTTTCACCACATTGGTCAGGAGGGTCATGAGCTCCTGACCTCAAGTGATCTGCCCACCTCAGCCTCCCAAAGTGCTGGGATTACAAGCATGAGCCACCACACCTGGTGGTGATTCATTCTTGCTTTTATTTATTCCTTGTTTATATTCATAAAAGTGGGCAGTAAGTTGAAAATATATTCAGATAGGATTTAGTAGCTGTAGCTTTAACCTATGGTTTCTGCAGCTTTTGTAATCTGGCAGTGTACATCTGCTTCATTACCTAAATGTTTCCTCAAAAGGAGAAACCCTCTAACAACTTATCACCCTAGTCTGTTGGCCACCATTTTCTCTCTGATGCTCACAGCTCCTTCTGTGGAATTTGAACATATGACTTCCATGACACTTGATCAGTGTGTCAATGGGTATGGAACCAATCTTCAGCTCTGATCCCATGGTTCAGTTCCTAGCAGTGTGACATTATGTGTGTCTTGGTGGTGGGAGATGTGATTCTTTCATCAGCTTTCTCTATTTATCTTACTCAGAGCAACCGTGCTCTAATGGGAAAATAGATTTAAAGCTTATAAATTTCCTTGAGTTTTAACTTTTCTCCTTTGGTCTTTTTTTCTTTTCAAATGACTTGGAGACATATTGATAAGATTCTATGAGAAAACAAAGAGTCAAACAAATTGAACATGTATGAGTGAATGAATAGATTAATATATAAATGATGATAAATTTTTTCAGTAATTTGAATGAAATCAATGGAGAGGCACTGAGAATAAATTTGTGTCCTAGAAGTTAGAAGATCTGAGTTTGAGATGACTACTAGTTCTATTATACTGGAAAAATTACTTAATCATCACTGGACTTCATTTTTGTCATTTGGAAAGTGATTGTTTTACACTAAACAGTCTTTAAGTTCTCCGTCACTTATGAATTTATGTTTTAATTCATTTAGGAGGTTAAACAATGTCACGTTCCATGGGACTTCTGTTTGTTGTTATACTCAAGCATGTTAGCACGTGTCTATCAGAGGAACTGCTGCCTTTCCACAGCCAGTTCTCTACATAATTTTTCATCAGTCAGTGCACACATGGTCAATATTTACTCAATAGAATTCAGGTCTTTCAAATTCCACTACATTGCTTGATTAATTTTATTACTTATGCCAAAGCTATTATCTTCTTAACTATTTTATGTCCAAACAGTTTTACCTTTTATCCTGATATTTATATATAAAAATAGTTTTATATTCAAAACAAAAACTTTTTATAAATCAACCAATTCTGTGAAAAAAATATGAAAAATATCCTGTTTCTAAAGAAAAAAATCTAGGCTACCAATATATACACATAAAGAGATAAACTCTGCTAAAATGTATAAATAAAATTCACTATAATAGCAAGTTTTCGAGAACAAGCGTGAGAGTTAGACAGCCTGGGCCCTTAAAACAGATATCCCATCCCTCATCTTCTGTTATTTCCTGCGTAATATTGGTATCATTCCTGCCTGACTCTCATAGATTTATACGATTCCTACTCTGCATCAGGTGCCTTATTGGGTCATAGTGGTAAAAAGAGGAACAAGACTAACGCAGCTCATTGCGAAGTTATCTGTAAGTCAACATGCATGGAAACTAATACTTGATTCAATGTGATAAGCACTGTTGCTGATCATAGGTGCTGGTGTGATGCAATATAAAATACACAATACCACCTTTGAAGTATTCTTGCCAAATAAATTCAACCAAAATCTAATCAAGGCTTCAGATCTAAACAAAACCTAAAGGTAATCCAACTTATAGGAAATGAGGGATATAGAAGAACAAGTTAAATAATACCACAGGAAAGCTTTCGGACAAGTCCAGAATGTAAGACGTTCTAAAGTATGATTAGCTTGATCTCTTCAGCAGTCAATGTCATTAAGAACCAAAAAAGAGGCAGGATTCTTTTAGATTAAAAGAAATTAACAAGGCATAACAACCAAGTGTACTAGATGGTCCTCGATTATTTCCTAGTTTTTACAAACCATTTGTAATTATAATGAAACTAATGGAGGGAATTTGAAGATGGACTAGGTTTTGATGATATGGCCGAAATATCATTAAACTTTTCAGGAGTGCTAATAGTATCATGGTTATGTTGGATATATCCTAATTGTTTATAATAATGATTTGGTAAAAAGTCATGATGTCTTATTTCACATTAAAGTACAGCAGCAGAAATAAATGAATGAGCCAAATAGAGTAAAAGTGTTAACAATTGATGTAACAACATGATATACATATAGAAAGAGAGATAGGTGTTCATTACACTATTCTTCCTAATTTTTTATGTTTGAACATTTTCATAATAGTCAAAAATAAAAGACAAAAATAAATAAGATACTAGATTTAAAATCACTCTGTGAACTCTAAAAGGATAGATAGATAAAAGAGATAACAAAGTGCTGGAGAAAGGTGGAAAAGTCCTTTTTCAAACATGTGTGCCACCTTGGACCATGACACTAAGAGAAACTATTCCTGACCACCACAAAGAGGCCACCAAATGCCTCTAGAATAGAAACCAGGAGAGACACTGGGATTCCCAGATCCTGATGTGTGTGGTTTTTTTTTTTTTTTTATTTAACACACCTTCTCAGACCAAGATGACCTTGAACAAAATTAAAGACAAATGACTTCTTGCAGGGAAAGGCAGACTAGAGCAATTTGAACTTTTCTAAGGAAAGCAGGAAAACCTGCAAGCATTACAATCTGAAAGTAACCAATGCGTCCTTCCTTTTTGCAGGACAGTAGGATTTGGCACCCGAAGTAGAAATCTGAAGCCATGGATGATTGCCCTTCTCATTGTGTTATCCCTGACAGTGGTGGCGGTGACCATAGGTCTCCTGGTTCACTTCCTAGTATTTGGTAGGTAAAATTAAAGATTGCACTCTATTTGATTTTGTTTTTCTGCAAAGCTTTATTTACTTATATGTTAATATAATTTTATCTAAAAAAATTGCACACTTACCTGCAAATTTCCACAGTCAGAGTATTTTTAATTTTTTCAGTCATCTAACCAACAAGTAAGCACTAAATGCTCATTATATGCGAGTACTTTTCTGGATACTCAGGATACAGCTTTGAGCAAAGTAAACAGATTTCTAATTTCCTTGGAGTTCTCAATCCAGAATTATTTTGAGTATTTACACAAAAAGATCAAAAATTATCATTGTCTGAAACTTACTAGTAATTATAATAAACAAGTAATTACTTATATATTAAAATGAAAAGCTATGATAAATTAGTTATTAAAATTGGCTCTTTCACCCATGAACTATCATTTTCTGTCTGACATTTCTAGGGCAAAAGAAAAGCACATGTCTACTAAAATAAGAAATTTCAAAATGATTGAAAACCTATAAGTATGACATGATATTACCATTTACTTTTGGAGAAAAAAATATTACTCTTTCCAAAACAATATTCAGGGATTGTATTTTTATCGACTAACGTATTTGTAATTACACAAGTAATGCACTTCAAGATCCTCTTTTTACATTGAGTCTCTTTCTGGGAAGAATACAAGCCATTTATATTTTTTGACAAATCTCTACAATGTTACTCTCACATGGATGTATGTGATAAAACAAATGACTCAGGCTGCTCACTTTAATGGTCTTACCTGTTGTCAACTTCCACAGAGTCAATGGGGGAGCAAAGACTCTATTTGGGGCCTTAAAGGGCTTAAGGTCATAGTAATAGGCCTTTTATGACAACCCCAGCTGTAGTTTATACCATTGGCAAAAGATTCTCAGATCAGTTTATTTGGTTGCATAAAAGCCACTTTACAATGAGAGTAAGGTTTGAAAACAGTGTGGATTATATGGATAAGTAATCAGGACGTCTAAAAAAGTATTGCAAGGTCCACATTTTTCCCACTTAATACATATGCTATTGAGATCCCTCTTTCTTTCCTTGGTTTGTAGTCTAGAAACCCACTGCCTCTTCCCCGAGCCAGGTTTCTCAAAGATTTAGGTTGTTTTGTGTGTGTGTGTGTGTGTGTGTGTGTGTGTGTGTTTTTCCATTCTTTGTCTTTAACTCTGTAGCTTTCTTACCCTCTCTTGGCCTTACTCCTCAGATTACCAAATTCCTCAGGACTCTCAGCTGCTTTCTTTGTTTACATTTCCTAGCAGATTTATCCCTGTTACACACTAGTCTCACCTTCAATCTCAGACAGCTCTTCTCTACACTTTCTTTTCAGGTTTTTCTTAGTGTGCCTGGCTCTCTTGTTACAAATCAAAGTTTACAAGGACGTTTATCTGTCTCTACTTCACTAGAGTGTACGGTGGTACACATTTCAACTCAGCAAAGGGAAATGTAGCAATGAAATGTTCAAGCTCTACAGTTAGACCGTCTGGGTTTAAAATTTGGATAGGCCACCTACTAGTTATAGAAAAAGTTACTTAATGCCTCTGTGCCTTACTTTCCTCATCTGCAAAATGAAGGTGATACTGATCTCATAGAGCTGGTATGAGGATTAAATGAGCTAATACACGAAAAGTGCACAGGACAGTGCCTGGCATATATTAGGAACTCAGTAAATGGCAGCAATTATAATTAATATAAAACATTATTATTTTTTAAACAAAACTCCATAACAAAGAAATTCAGTCAAATATTCAAGACTTTATATTAGCCCCATTGTAGCTGGGTTCTGAAATCTTTGTCCAAACCATTTAGTTTCCTATTCTTCATTTCCATTGCAGACCAAAAAATGGAGTACTATCGTGGCTCCTTTAAAATTTTAGTTCCACAAATCAATAACAATTTTGGACAAAGCAACACATACCAACCTAAGGACTTACGAGAGACGACCGAAAATTTGGTGAGTCAGCTAAACTTTTTATCATAAAATAATGCAAGTGGAAGGGATTCGGTGGATCATTTCTCCATTTCTAAAATCAAGATTTTCAGACCACCCACATTAGAATCATCTTGCAGATTGCTAGGCCCCATCCCAGAACTGCTTAATCAGAGTCTGAATAGATGGGTAGGTGACAAGAGGGGAGTAAGGGAATCTGCCTAACAAATGGGTGATTCTGATAAGCCACTCTTTCTAACTCAACCACCTTATTTAAAGGTGAGAGAACTGAGGCCAAGATATCCTAGCCCATTTCCTCCCCAATTCTACCACAATGTTTCCCCAATAGAAAACCCTAATCATACCAAAACTAGTTTTTATATGACCCCATACTTTTTTGTAAGACCACATTTTAAGATTTTGAGTATTTTCAGAATTTATATTCATTTTGTCTTGCAAATATATTGATAAAGACAAAAATTCAGACTTGTTGTGTAATAATCAAGTCAAATGCTAATAATTTTATTAAAGCTAAAGACTGCCCCCCAAAAGAAAAAAGCACACTCAGTTGTGTAATCATTCCACTCAGGATGCCCATGAACTTCTCACTCAAAAACTATGTTCAAATATTTTTCTAATTAGGAAGCACAGAAGCAGAGATTTCTTTTAAAAAGAAAGAATTGACAAATATATTGGTTTTAGTCAAAGAACCGTTTTTAAGACATTTTCTTTCTCAAATCATTTGTCATTTTTTCATGTCACCACTTGCTCCTTGTCCACAGTAAATTTAATGGCATCATATTTACAATAATATCATAGAGTTTATAATCTCTATTTTCAGTTAACAATTTTTAAATTTTATGGTCTCATCTTTCCCAACCAATAATTAATGTCTACAGATTGCTATAGATTCTTCATTCTTTCACATGCAGAGCATCTTATAAAAAAGCATTTGCAGTCAATTCTTGAGTTACGCTAGAATGAACTTGGAGCCTGCACCTATACACCCAAATATCTCCTCTATTCCTCTACTCCTAAGTGACTCCACATAAAGTCCTCAACGCAAAAAAAGAAAACTCTTAACTTGCCTTAGTTAAAAAGATAAACACATTCTTTGAAAGATGGAAAATGTTATAGTTTAATCGGAAAATTTGAAATATGCTTTATTTATGTTTTATAGCCAACACTACTGTTGTTACTGTTACTGTTGTTGTAAGTTAACTAAGAAATTCTGTCTTTACTGAAGTAAATCAACAGGAATGCAATAGGTCTTAAAGGAAGTGAGAGAAATGTGGAGGTGTACGTTGAACAGAAACTGTATTTAAAAGTGGACTTTTAAGTATCATTAGTTAAGCATATGTTCCTTCAAAGACTAGGGCTAAGTTAATTAAGAACATATCATCATGGGTACCCGCAAGGCCCTTCTCTGGTTGTCATTATTTATTTATCCTCCTTTAACCCTATAGCATAAGCTCTTGGCCTCCCCTTTGCAGGCAACCATTTTATGTTTCATGTGGTATTCTTTTGCTTGTATTCATTCTTACAAAAATATGTTTTGTTGTTTTGTATGCACATGCTTTTAACTTATATTTTGTGTTATAAATCACTTTTGTTTCATCTCTTTTTACTGAAAATTTTTAAAAATATCTATGTTATTAAATATACCTTTAATTTATTGCTGTTAGCTGCTAATTCATAGTGTGTATCCAGAATAGTTTACCTGCTTGTCATGCCAAGAAATGCCACACTAAACAGACTCCTACTTATCCCCTTATAGATCTATGCAAGTACTTCTGGAAGCAGAATTACTAGGTCATTGAATTACTTATACTTAATTTGACTAATTGGTGCAGGTTTGCTCTTCAAAATGGCTGAATCAGTGTGCACTCTCACCTACAATGCATGAGCATTTTTATGTCCCCACATCTTACCAAAACTTAGTGTCTTAGTATGTTTAAGTGACTACAAACAAAAAATACCATAGGCTGGGTATCTTAAACAACAAACACTGATTTCTCATAGTTGTAGAGGCTGAAGTTTCCAAAATCAAGATGATCAAGACTCTAGCAAATGTCTGGTGAGGGACTGCTTCTGATTCAGGGAACACCACCTTGCTGTGTCCCTCATGGCAGAAGTCATACGAGAACTTTCTTTTGTAAGGACGCTAATAACTTTCATGAGAACTCCACCCTCATGACCTAACTACCCTCCAAAGGCCCCATCTCCTACTATCATCACTTTGGGAGCTAGGATCTCAAAATATAAATTTCAAGGGAACACAAACATTCAGTCCACAGCACTTGGTATTGTTTGGCTTTCTAATTTTTGCCACCCTAATAGGTATAAAGTAGTATGGTTTTTGTAATTTAATTTGAATGTTTCTAGTTGTTAATGAGTTTGTGTATTGTTACATATAATTATTAACCTTTTGGACTTTCATTTCTATAAATTGACTATACATATTCTTTGCCTGTTTTTCTGTTACACTTGCTTTTTTGCCTCATTTGTATTGCTTTGCAGAAGTTCTTTATATTTTCTAGATATTAATAGTGTGTTTGTTGTAGACACTACACTTATCCATTCTGTCTTCTACTAATATTGACCATGTTGTCCTTTATGAAACAGAAATCTATAGCTTGGAAGTAACCATTTTTATCATTGTTTTGTCTATGATTATATTCTGATGCTTTTCTTTAAAAAGTCCTTCCCTTCTAAGATATAAAAATATTTTACTATTTTTTTATTAACTCTATAGTTTTACCTTTTACATTAGGTCTTTAATACATGTGGAGTCCACCTTTGGATGTGATGTTAGGTAGATTCAGTTTTTATAATTCATATAGTGAGCCAGTTTTTTAATATAACTAGTTAAAATATCTTGGCTACTCCTAATATATAGTATGATTATTGAGTTCATTGCATGCATTTCTTGGCACCTGGGTCTTGCAATAGAGAAAACATGATCTGTCTCCTCAAATTGCTTCCAATCTTTTTGGAGAGATGTGAGTAACACACATGGAATTGAATAACATGACATGATATAATTAAGAGCTAAATTATATGTTGAGAACAATAAGTGCAGAAAAACTTCAAAACCCCACAAGAGTTCCCATGGTCAGAAAAGGCTTTATGTTATTTTACCTCTGTTTAAATAAGACAGGTGTTTTTCTCCTCCCATCCCCCACCAAATTAGCTTCAAAAGAATTACAGGAAGACTTTATGCAACATCCTGAGCCACTCCTGTTTATTGTTGCTAAATCCTAATGAATAGAACAGATTCTTCTGCCTGTCCTATGTGGGTGCTAATTAGACAACCAAGGAAGACAGGTTGCAGTTCATCTTCTTCCTCATATTGGGGTTTACTGATTTGAAGCAAATGGAGATGCAAAAGTAAAATGAGTTCATATTCATATACTGCTATAATCTATCCCTGTTCCCTGAGATAGTAGAGCAGACATATCTCTTCTCTCACATCATCCTTCAGAGAAGAGTCCATTAATCAGACATTACTGCTGTCTGATTACTGCAGGCTGCAAGCTGGCCATCTTTCAGGCTGAGAAGCATAACGACCAGCAGAAGCTGAGAATATGCACTTTCAAGGAGGGAAAGATAAGACAGGAATTTATGCTGAATTAGTTAGCTAAGTATACATGTTCATTAAGTTCTAGGGGTAGTCATGAATATTTATGAAAGGAGAAACATGGCTTTGTGCAACTGAGTTTCATGCTTCTTCATGTGTTGCATGTTCAAAAAATGGTGGTGTTAGCATGCTCCAAGGGTGGAGTTTTCAGCCATTTGATGTTAAAAGGTGAAGCAGAGGGCACAAAACCCTTACTATGCATCCTCTGTGAGTCAGCTAAAACCAGTTTGGACTGCTAGCTAGATTAACAAAATTTTATAAAGAGAGAGAAGATACAATAAGCACAATCAGAAATGACAGAAGTAACACTACAACCAATCCTACAGAAATACAAAAGATTCTCTGAGACTATTATGAATGCCTCTATGCAGATAAACTAGAAAATCTAGAGGAAATGGGTAAATTCCTGGAAAAACACAACCTTTCAAGATTGAATCAGGAAGAAATTGAAATCCTGAACAGACCAACATTGAGTTTCATATTTAAATCAGTAATTTTAAAGAAACCTACCAAACAATAGAAAAAAAAAAGGCCAAAACTAGATGGATTTATAGCCAGATTCTACCAGAAATACAAGGAATAGCTAAGACCAATTCTAATGAAACTATTCCAAAAAATTGAAGGAGAAGAAACTTCTTCCTAAATCATTCTATGAAGTCAGCATTATCCTAATATCCAAACCTGACAAAGACACAATGAAAAAAGAAAATTATAGGCCAATATCCCTGATGAACATAGATATAAAAATCCTCAAGAAAATACAAGCAAACCAAATCCAGCAGCACAACAAAAAGTTAATTTGTCAAAATCAAGTAGGCTTTATTTCTGGGATGCAAGATTGGTTCAACATATGTAAATCAATAAATTTGATTAACCACATAAACCAAATTTAAAACAAAAACCATACAATTGGCTAGGCGTGGTGGCTCACACATGTAATCCCAGCACTTTGGGAGGCTGAGGTGAGCAAACTACATGAGGTCACAAATTTGAGACCAGCCTGGCTGACATGGTGAAACCCAAAAGGCTGAGGCAGGAGAATCGCTTGAACCCAGGAGATGGAGCTTGCAGTGAGCCCAGATTGTGTCATTGTACTCCAGCCTGGGCAACAGAGCGAAAATCCATTTCAAAAATATTTAAAAATTAAAATCATACAATCATCTCAATAGATGTAGAAAAGTTTTGATAAAATTAAACATTCCTTCATAATAAAAATTCTTAACAGATTAGGCATTGAAGAAACATACTTCAAAATAATCAGAGCCATCTCTGACAAACCCACAGCCAACATCACACTGAATAAGCAAAAGCTGGAGGCACTCTTCTTAAGAACAGGAACAAGACAGGAATGTTCACTCTCACCACTCCTATTCAACATAGTATG